GATATCATTCGTGATGTCACAGCCTCTGTGGGTCAGGAATTCCAGGGCAGCGCAGTTGGGTCATCTGGGTCCGGGTGCCTCACACGGTGTTGCCACCTTAAGGCTTCACCGAGACGGGTTGGTGATTGCTGGCGGGATTCGGTTCCTTGTGGGCTGTTGGATAAAGCCTCAGTCGGGTTCTCATGAGCTGCTGCTTGTCACGTGGGCACCTCCACTGAGCACTGCACCACAGGGCAGCGCAGCAGAGCCGGAGCGTGCAGGGGAGGGAAGGCAGGGGAGGCCGCAGGATGGGGTGGAGAGAAGGCTGTGAGGGATGGAAGTCACAGCCCCTTTAACCTAATCTGGGGAGTGCTGACAACCTTTTAAGTCCAAAAATCTCTTACCAACCTCCAACTCCAAAACACTCCCAAATCAAGAAATATTAGTATTAGTTTGATAGCAGAGCTCATTTGGTAGCAAAAATGTGAACTTAAGTGATAACTGACTCCTTAGAGTCTTGATTTCATGTGAATATTCTTTTTTAAATTTTTATTTATTTATGTTTTTTAAAGATAGAGAGCATGGGGAGGAGCAGAGGGGGAGGGACAAGCAGATTCCCCACTGAGCGTGGAGCCCGACACAGGGCTGGATCCCAGGACCCTGAGATCATGACCTGAGCCGAAACCTAGATTTGGATGCTTAACCGCCTGAGCTGCCCAGGTGCCTGCCCCTCCATGTGAATATTCTTAACGTTTTGCTCCAAAAATAGCAATGGCTTTATTTTTGTGGGGTGCCCCAGACTTGCCAGAGGGGTTATGGGATAGCCAGGATCTGCACTACCTCAAATCCACAAAGTCCTAAATTCTCACCCACGCATGGTCCCAGGGTCTGAGGCCGTTATACTCCGGTGCACTTGAACGTGTGGCAACAGGACCTGTGTTTTCTCGAGGTTTTATTTTATTCGATCATGCCATCCTCTTGTAACTCAAACGTCGGAGTTTCTAATTTGTCTTGGACTGAGATGTGCTTGGGATAGAATCCGTCCCGAGTCCCCAACCCAATTACGTTTTGCATCATTCCAAAGGCCACTCGGTTAGGCGGAGGCCCATCTGGAGGTTCATTGCTGTGATGTATTTCAGCGTCGCGTACACAGGTTCACCAGCCTCGCCTTGACCTTGGAAAGGTGGCGGTATTTTACAGCGCGTGGTGACATTTATGAGCCCATTGGACACCCACAGCGAGGTTGATTTCTACAGACGAAATGTCAAGTTTGAAACCATCCAGGGTAATTGAATCGTGGAGCATTGTCCACTTAGATCCTCGACTGAGGCCGTTGACTGGACACTTGTGCTCCGTGACGCGCCCACAAGAGCCGCCCCAATCGCGTTGGTCAGACGGAGCCTGGGGGGCACCGCGGGCGTGGGGAGGGTCAGGGCAGTGGGGTTTGACAGCCACAGAAACGATGCCTCGTTTTTCCTCTGTGAAATAAAACTCTCATGTGGTTAGTCGGTAAATACATCACTGGAGGCGGAACTCGCCAACTGCCGTGGCCAAGGTGTTCGTTTGTGAAGCCTGTCTGCGCGTGACACGTGAGAAGGGAAAGCATGTGTACGTCGGTGTGTCAAGTACAGGTAATTTAAGGGGCATTAAACACGTGGCCATAAACTTGCAAGGGGCTTCCTTTACATTAAGGGAAAGGCCTCAAGTCGTTTCCTAGAAACGTAACCGTGCTTGTGTCTTCACTGTCCAGAGGGCGTGTGCGCCCTCAGACTTAGATTTGAGCCTCTCCTTCTTTTTTAAAAGAAATTTTTAGGACTGTTAGTCCACACGCAGCACGTGACATCCCCATCATTTATCTAGTTCATAACTGGAAGTTTGTACGGTTGGAGTCCCTCCACCTGTTCTCTCCCTGGCAACCACCCATCTGTCCTCTGTTTTGATGAGTTTGGTTCCTTCCGATTCCACATGTAGGTGAGATCGTGAAGCCTTTGTCTTTCTTTCTCTGACTTATCTCACGTAGCATGATGCCGCCCCGGTCCAGCCCTGTTGCTGCCAATGGCATATACAAGTGCCCACCACATCTCCTGTATCCGTTCATCTGTCGATGGACACGTAGGACGTTTCCGTATCTTGGATATTGATTGTAATTAATGCTACACTCGCCATGGGGGTGCAGGTGTCTCTTTGAGCTGGAGATTTCGTTTCCTTTGGCTACAGAGCCGGAAGTGGGATGTCTGCATCATATGGCAGCTTGTTTGCCTTTTTAAAGATTTTATTTAATTGTTTGAGAGAGAGAGAGAGAGAGAGAGAGAGAGCGAGCATAGGGGTGGGGGAAAGCAGACTCCCTGCTGAGCAGGGAGCCCGACATGAGGCCCGATCCCAGGACCTGGAGATCATGACCTGATAAGTCAAAGGGAGACACTTCATGGACTGAGCCACCCAGGTGCCCCTCATAGGGTTGTTCTATTTTAAATTGTTCGAGGCTCCTCCACACTATTTTCCACGGCGCTTGCACCAGCGTGCATTCCCACCCACCGTGCGTGAGGGTTGATGTGAGTCTCTCAGATGTTTCTTCTCCCAAGACACTGGCGTTGGGCAGGTGGGACCTGGGTATGGAGGTGCCCGTCGCCTCCCCTAGTACACGGTGGACACAAGGGGCAGGACAGCCTGCTTGGTCAGGACGCCCGCAGGAGTCGAGACAGATCAAGGGAGCCCATCTGCTTTGCTGCCAAGTCACTCTGGGCATGCACACGATGGAAGGTGGCTCTCAGATTCAGCTCAAGGTGAGGAATTAGAACAAAAAGCAGCCCCTGCCCACGGCGGTGCATCCCAGACCGCGGGTGTTTGCGGCCTGGCGCTGGGCGGTCAGACGGAGGCGCGATCCTGGGGGGCCCGGTGATTGGCGCCCCACGGTTGCCCCTCCTGGCTGCTCCGCTCGGCCGCGGTGGTGGCATCGGATCGCAGTAAGCGACTCGGCTTCCTTCAGGAGCAGATGCCTTGCCTGCCGTGCCCCCCGGGAAGCCGAGACATTAGGTCTGCACACGGACGGGCTCGGCCAAGCATCGGCTTGTTTAGTCTACACCAGGCGAAACATCTGGGTGCTTGGAAACATCTTTGGAGTGGAACGGGCCACGTGACCGGTTCTCCGGGAGGCACAGCCTGGGTCAAGGGCAGGGAGAGGCTCCAGACGTGGGGGCGGGGGGGTGGGGTGGGATGGGGCTCCCAGGCAGGGGAGGAGGGGCGGAGGCGCATCCAGCTCCGCACTCTTCCTCTCTCCTGACCTGCAAACTGCAGGACCAAACTGCGTGCCTTAGAGGAACAGAAGGTCCTGTCGCTGTTCTGGGGTCTGGAGGCCCACGGTCAGGGGTCACAGGGCTGCGCTCCCTCTGCCACCTGGAGCGTAGAACCCTTCATTGCCTCTTCCGGGCTTCTCGAGGTCTGCCGGCAATCCTTGGCCTTCCCTGGTTCGTAGACACAACACTCCGGTTTCTGCCCCGTCCCCTGCGGCCTCGTCCCCTGCCTGTCTGTCCTTCCCATGGCTGCCGTCTCCTCCCTGGGGGTGACTCTCCTCTTCCTGCAAGGACTCTGGTCCTATGGGATCAAGGGCTCTCCCTCCTGCAGGACGGCCGCATCCCGCATCTCGACCTCTGCAATGACCCTACTGTCTACTCCAGGTCACAGTCACAGGTACGGAAGGTTAGGACTCCCACAGATCATTCTTTGGGGGCGGGGGGCTCCGTTCAACCCCTAATACCTTCTTCTTAGAACCTAAGGCGCTGTGGCATTCTCCTTCAAATGTGTGGTCTGTGGGTGGCAGGTGGGATGTGGGCCATGACGACTGTGGGATTTCTTGGTGGCTGTGTGGCCACGGTGGCAGGTAGCGCCCTGCTCACAGTGGCTCTGTTCTTAGCACCGGCATAGCTGGCTTTGAAGGCCTGGAGCAAGAGGGCTGCTCGCTCAAATCACGTTCTGCAGACTTTACAGGGAACAACGTCTCTGAACACGAGAAGCCCTTCTGCCAGCGGCTTCTAGGATTGACAGGCTCTGAGCCCCCCTTGCAGGGGGTAGCCCAGATTCAGTAGGATTTCTGTGCCTCTGGTATCTGGTGCCCTCAAGGTCATGGAGTTAACTTAGAAGCCGGACAGAGAGGTCAGTGCTCAGGGTGGGGGGAAGGTTCTAGATGAGATTCTTGGATCAGTAAAACACATCCATCCACACCTGGATAGGAAGGTGGACAGGAAAAGTTGGGGTGCATGGGCCTTGTAAGTGGATTGCACCATATAGAAGTCCCCCCGGGCCCCAGTCAAGCAAACACCGGGAGGGACCCACCCCGTGAGCAGTGATGTGGACCAACTGAAGGGGGGAAGGTGTGTGTCTCTGGAGGGCAGGTCACTGAGCACGGCCCTCCCGCCCTGCCCACTCCAAGTCTGAAGAAGGCATCAAGCTCTGCTACTCAGGAACGTACGCAAACCAGCTTCCACAGGCGGCTTGCAAACTCTCTGCTTTCTTACTCCTTGGGGTCTGGAGTGGTTGACTTATTGCAGATATTCTGGGAAAGGTGAGTCAAGGGATCCTCAAAGTACTCTGTCCCTCTTGAGAAGCAGGACCAGAATATCTGGGTGCAGAGACCCCTCCCTGGTCAGCAATCTCATTATAAACAGGCAATGAGAGGTATAGGGTTGAAAGCAACATTATAGGACCTAGACAACATTTTATCTTAAAATTAAATCATGTCTTTTTTTTTAAGTCATACTTAGAAATTCCCAAGATATCAAAAAAATTTATCATGCATCTATTTTATTCAGTACATTAGCCAAGGAAGAGTGCGTGATGAGAATGTTCTGGAAGGGAGGGTCGATGAATTGAAAAAGTTAAAGTGTTATTTCATGTGTTTTGCTGCATCCACTGAGCAAATGTAGAGGGGAACGGCATCTGCTGGGGAGCACTCCCGTCCCTGGGCATGGACACCAGGTGCCTGGTGGTTGGCCCGCTCTTGCCCAGAGGCTGCAGCCTGCTTGGACTCAGTGGATGCCTTGCTTCGGCCAGCCTAGCTCTTTGGCATATGCCCCCTTGCAGCTCCTGATCTCACAATCGTGCTCCAGACCCTTGTTCAGGTTCGGCACCCCGGATCTCCAGCCGATGAAGCCCTGGGTCGTCTTCGGGACTGGAGGGGATGGAAGGACCTGGAGCGGAAAGGCATGAGGGTTAGCCACCTGGAGCCTACAGTGACGTGAGGCATGTCCACGGATGCATCAGGATCGGCATGTGAGGCCTGATGGGGAAAAGACAGAAGAACAATATCCTTAAGCAGAGCGCACCCAAGGTGAGCACCCTCCAATCAGCGGGATGCTGAGACTTCTCCCCGTGAAAGTCGTGAACACCGAATACCTTTCTTTCTTTCTTTCTTTCTTTCTTTCTTTCTTTCTTTCTTTTTTCTTTCTTCTTTTTCTTTCTTTCTTTCTTTCTTTCTTTCTTTCTTTCTTTCTTTCTTTCTTTCTTCTTTCTTTCTCTTTCAAAATTTTATTTATTTATTCATGAGAGGCACAGAGAGAGAAAGGCAGAGACACAGGCAGAGAAAGAAGCAGGCTCCCCATGGGGAGCCCAATGCAGGACTCGATCCCAGGACCCCGGGATCATGACCTGAGCCGAAGGTAGATGCTCAACCCCTGAGGCACCCAGGTGCCCCCCAAATACATTTCTTTATGTGGTCACACTTACTACATTAATTCATGACCTCCACTAAAATATTTTTCACTTGACAAATGAGCAAAAAGCAGGAAAAAGTCAGGTGTAGAAATATCAAATGCAACAGTTCACACGGGCCTTTACAAAATATATAACAATATTGTCAGATGGTATCCTGGCGGTTATAAATCTGCTGGTTCTGATCAGAAGGCTTTATGATACGTGTGTATACACACCCACGCACGCCCCAAACTGTAGAGACCACGGGAATGAAAGCAATGGAATTTAATTAAAAACAAAAGGGTTTTCATCTCTGTCTGAGATGAAAAAACACAGTTTCATCTGTCAATTCCTTGGGCAGACTTGAAATATGTGGGAAACGAGGGCAGACGTTCCGGCCGCATCCCGCCCCACTTCCTTTGGAAATGATGTTCCGTTCTGCTTTTATGGGGTGATTTGAATGAAGACAACATGAGGAATATTTTATTTGAATGAAGACATCACAGGAGACCTGAGACAGCAGTTTCAGATGCTTGGGGCAGTGCGTTCCGCGCTCAGCACAAGGGATTGGTACGTGAGGCGTTGGTGCAGGGGGTGGTCCTGGCGGGCTGGTTGCCGCTGGCACCCACAGCCCCCAAACAGATGTTCTTGATGAAGGGCTAAAATTAATCTCCTGAGAGGCCACATTCAGGGAAGGTGGTCAGCAGGTGCCAGAGGGGCCAGCGCTTCCTCGGCTGTCCAGACGGGCCCTTGGGACACCCAGACTAGCTTTCACATCTCCCTCCAACTCGTAAGGGAGATGCAATCGAAATCCACCCTGGGAGGCCACCTTTCACCCACCAGGTTGGCAGGGAGATGAAAACACTGCTGTTAACCAGAGTGCGGTTGCAGGACAGGTTGGCTCACTGTCCGTGAAGGGCACTAGCGCAATTATGTACGAAAAATGAAAATGCAAACATCCTTTGACCTGACAGGTATTCGTAGGCACCTGTCCTAAGACATCGTAATATCTGCGCACATGCACAGCAGGGTTGTTGGTGTGGGGCTTCGCTGCAGCCCCGGGGGAAGAGCAGATCACTGGACTCAGCCTACGTGTCACCTGCAGGGGACTTGCTCAGTGGATACCGCACAGCAGTGTAACAGGGCGAGGCAGGTGCCTATGTTCTGAGGTGGGACACTTTGAACATTCGCTGCTCGGAGATAAAGGGTGCAGGAGACACAGAGAATATGGTATAATTAGTGCGACAAGAAAAAAGAAAGGCTAAAGATCCACACACACACGCTTGCATGTGCATGTCCAGTGTCTGGCCACAACGGCTCCCGAGGGTCCGAGCACTCCTTTTGGGGTATAGGACATCCGTTAACAATAAATGGATTTTTAAAAGACTCTAGCCTTCCGAAGAAGGGACGGGAAGGAGGAAGAAGGGGACCATTTCTTCAGCGAGGAGGGAGGTTCAGAAAGAAGTGGGCAAAGCGCCTTTCTCACCCGGATGAAGGTCCGTGACCCCCAGGCCCTCTGCTTCAGTTTCTCAAGGACAAAATGGGTTTGGCGGTGATTATATCTACCTTCGAGGGTTGTTGTGAAAATAAGATGACCAGGTAAAGCCCTTAGTATGGTGAGCAGCCAAGACATGGTAAGAGCTAGTGTTTTTTTGTTTTTTTTTTTGGGGGGGGGGGCTGGAATAGAAAGACATAGCAAAACATCTGGAAGGAGCGGCCCAAGATGTTAACCACGGGTCAGGATTTGTATGGATATTTTAATGTCTTATTTTTGCTGTATTTCTAAAATAGCAGTGAATCTGTGTTGCAGTATAACCAGGGGTCGCTCTCAGCGTACCTCAGGGACTGTGCACCCATCCAGCCACCAGACGTGACGCACCGCACACTCACCTTGTGCCAGCTGCTGTGTCAGACCCAAGCGCCTCAGGAGAAGAGATGCCACAGAGCCTACTCCTCCCACCCCTGGCCACCTTCCGTGGGCGTTTGCATCCCTTCAGGGGACAGGACACAGAACTGCTTTCTCCCAGGCCTGGCAGAGAGCAGAATCCAGGACCAAAATGACGGACCCGCGGAGGGAGGCCCAGCATGTACCCAGCTCAGCACTTTCTAGAGGCGTCTGACCCGCGTCCACGGCTGACCGGTCTCAGTGGGAAGACCTCCTAAGTCTTCTCCCCTCCGGGATCGCCCCATTATTCACTCAGCAAGCGCAGTGGTCTTTGAAAACGGCAACCGGCACCGTGCCGCAGCCCTGCTTCCCATTGCAGAATGGGCCTCGCGCCTTGCTCTGGCCTCCGAGGTCCAGTGGGATCCGGCCCTGCCCGCTTCTCCGTCCACATCACTTTCCTCCCCGTCCTGCCCCCGCCTCACCCACCTCCAGTCTCACGGCATCTCTTGCTGCTCCTGCAACATACCGAGCTTTGCTCTGCCTCAGGGCCTTTGTGCATGCTCTTCCCTTTGGTGGGAAAACCTTTCCCGGGCTGGCTCCTTATCACCCTCAGTCCCCAGCCCAGTGGGCGCTGCGCCATCTCCTGTTACCCTCCAAAGCCCCACCTGTCTCTTGCCTCCATGGCATCCAGCACTGCAAATAGCAGTTTTGTGGAGGGGCGCTTGGGTGACTCAGTGGGTTAAGTGTCTGCCTTGGGCTCAGGTCATGATCCCGGAGTCCTGGGATCGAACCCTGTGTCGGGCTCCCCGCTCAGTGAGGAGCCTGCTTCTCCCTCTCCCTCTCTGCCTCTCTCCCCCACTCAAGTGCTCGCTCTCTCTCTAATAAGTAAAATCTTAAAAAAACTTTTTTGTTGAATTTCTTGTTTCACGGTGGCCTCCCCACCTCCCTGCCCCCAAGGCAGCCTCGTGGGCTTGTCTTCCTGTTCGCCACTGTGTCCCCCGCTGAGCGCCTGGCCCCACCACAGCTAACGGTCACTAGTACTCTCTGAAAGTACCAGGTGACATTCCAAATCCTTGCCACTGCCTGCAGTAGGTGCTTCCGTGAGCCCCCTGATCGGGGGGGAAGGAACCACAGGGCAATCGAGCCCCTCATGAGAACACACAGGAGGTGTGCAGCCGAGCAGGACTTGGGCCTCCGGGGTCTGACTCCAGAGCTCAGGCCTCTGCCCGCCCTGTCTTACTGCCCGGTCCCTGCCAGTGTCTGCTGACACTGGTCCCTCATGCCCTTGGCTGCCCTCCCCTTCTGCAGAGCCGGTCACGGTGGCTCCTGCTGGCGTGGGGACGAGTGACCTGATGTGCCCCCCACCTGTGGGCTGCAAAGGACGTGGAGTGGAACCTGGCGTCCCCATGAGCCGGGGGCTTCTGTGGTCTTACCTTTGGCGGTTGGCTTTGTGCGCCCCGAGCGAACACACTTATTTCTTAACTTAGGAAAACAAGTGTTCAAAGGGACTTTGCGAACCTTGATGTACTTCTCCACTGGGGTCACTGGCCGGATGCGGAACCGCTGGGGAAGCTCGATTTTGGGCTTTAGGGTGGGGGGTTCCTCTTCACCCTTGAGCAACTGCAAACACAACCCCCAGAGACGGGAAGCCTCAGCGGAGGGTAGCGGGAGCTCCCCCCAGAACCCACGTTTTGCAGATGACCAAAGCCACGCTCAGAATCGTCGGTGGCTTGGTTCAATCACACGGTTCAGAAGCGGCCGCTCAGCCTCCAGATAAGTGATTAACCGCCGCGTCCCTACCACCTTTAGCAACCTGCTAATTTATCCTCCCGAGTCATAATTCGAGAAAACTTCACAGGTTACTGACTCAAATAAAAGATTGCCAACAAGCTTCCAGGACCGATCTTTAAAATATTAGAGGAGAGCCCCCATCCTCCCCCCTTCTTTTAATTTTTAAAGCAATTTCAAACTCTTTGAAATCTCAATTTAATTACATATAAGGAATATTAATATAGACTCTTTTTTATGCATTGTATATTAATAAGGACTCATTTTATGCATAACATTTCAAGTTGTATAACTGTAAGTATTAAAAAATCCTCATTAAGAATGGCATAATTTCAAAGCTAGTGGGATGGGGTGAATTACAAATGGGGTTACGCTGCCTTGAATCATGAACGTTTTGAATTATGCGACTCTTCTGTGGGTCTGCATCCCTCCAAAGAAATGTGGCTTCCAGGCGTCGTGTCCTGGGGGGCAGTTTGGAAGATTGGAGCCTGGTGGCCGCTGTCCTACCGAATCCCACGCAGGCATTTGGTATCTGTATGGTGTTTTATAAATCTGAGCCACTATTCTGGACTTGCGTTTCATTTAAACATGTGGAATTCTGGGCTCCCTTAAACAATGGGAATATGCAGTTGTCTTCTCTGTGTAGCAGCCCTCAGCTGGGGTGATGGAGCTCCCCCCGCCTGGGGCCGGGGGTCTCTGCTGGCATCTGTACTGCTCCCTATTCATTACCCCTGGTCTGTCCTTGTTACCTAGCTGGCTTAGGAAAAGACCAAGAATATTTTCCCAGTAATCCCTCATATATTCACCCGGCTTCTACTTCCCATCCCATCTGGACTTCAACATTGCCCAGCGAGGCCGCAGAGGACTCTCACCCTTTTTACAGATGGGCTGTCTGAGGCCACATGGCCCTGGAATCAGACACACCAGCTTCTCCTCTGTTAGCTGTATGACTTTGCAAGTCTCTGAGCTCAAGTTCCTAATTTATAAAATGGGCATAAGACAGTGCCCTCCTCTGCCCAAGAGTCATGGGGATTAAATGAGCTAGTTCAGAGGAGGCATCTGGAGGATGTCTGGAATGTAGTAGATGCTCAATAAATTCACGAAAGGAAGGGACCTATAGGTTTCAGAGTTAGAGTCTTCATACACAACGCTCTCTTTAACTTTATTCTTACAAAGTATACACTTCCTAACCATCTATTCCTTGAAATGATCACTTCTATAACCTCTGGGCTCATCAGATCTCTACTCACCTCCTCGACAGGGGTTGTTAAAAATCCCCAGTTCTGAGCCCAGTTTTGCCGTGCTTCACCTTCAGCCTTCAGGCGGTATTTCCTGAAAAGGAAAGTTCAAGAAGGGTTAAAGTAGCAAACCCTAAAAGGGTCCACTGGGGAAAAGGTTACATCTTGTAATGTACGTGGACTGGATGATGACTGTACCAGAGAGGAAGCCAGGTGTCAGAGGGAGCATGAGTCCCTGTTGCTGGGGACTGGAAGAGAGACACCGTCTAAAGAACCAAAGGTTCTGGTTGAGTGGTGCCTTGGGGAAAAGATGGGCCCTGAGGCTGGCTCTGCCTGAGGGGTCATCTAGGGCATCTAGGGACTAGACTCCTCATTTTGGTGCGCTGAGTGAGACATGTGGGGTGCAAAATGTAAGGGGCTGCTCTCACTCCCGGGTTCCTATAAGTACAAAGCCAGCATTTGCATGACCTTGAGAGTGAGCCCTTCTGAAATACTGCCCACCAGGTGCCCCACTTGCCCCGTCCTAATCTTGGCCCTGCTTTTACCATATATATAATATATATATAAATATAATTTGCTATAATTATAATATATATTATATAGAATATAAATACAATTTATATATAATGGCCTACTAGTTGAGAGCTGTTGTGTCAAAATTTTGATTTTCAAGTTTCTTTTCCTATTTTGGAATCAATGCCTGCCCCCCTCCCATCCCCCAGTGTCTCAACAGTTTTGGAGGCCCCAGAACAAGCTTTTTCTCCCACCCCCTGCCCCGGACACTGAGCATCTTAAGCAGAGTATAGTCTAATGGAGATGTAAAATGAGCCTCAAATATGAGCCACGTACATAATTAACAATTTTCTAGCAGCCACACAAATAAAAAAGTTTTTAAAGTGAAAGTAAGCAGATGAGGGGAATCCCTGGGTGGCTCAGTGGTTTAGCACCTGCCTTTGGCCCAGGGTGTGATCCTGGAGTCCCGGGATCAAGTCACACGTCAGGCTCCCTGCATGGAGCCTGCTTCTCCCTCTGCCTCTCTCTCTTTCTCTCTCTCTCTCTGTGTGTCTATCATGAATAAATAAATAAAATCTTAAAAAAAAGAAAGTAAGCAGATGAAGTTAATTTTAATATTACTTTTTTTTCATGTGTGAAATCTTCAAAATCTGGTGTGTGTTTTACATTTACAGTTAATTCCAATGTGGACCAGTCACATTTTTGGGGCTCAGAAGCCACTTTGGACCTTGGACAGAAGAACAGTCTAAAGGTTGAGCCAGCTATCTTCACATAGGAGGGGCCATCTGATTTGGGTCTTGGAGGGTGAGTATGAGTTTGTCTGGTGGAGAAGGGAGAAAGGGGCACTTTATTTTGTTTGTTTATTCATTCATTCATTCATGAGAATAAATAGACACAGAACCACAGGCAGAGGGAGAAGCAGGCTTCCTGTGGGACTCGATCCAAGGACCCCGGGATCATGACCTGAGCCAAAGGCAGACGCTCAACCGTTGAGCCCCTATGCGCCCCTGGAAGGGGCATTTTAAACGGATGGAACATGCCTATTATGGTGACCTTATAGGATCCAAGTAGGAGGTATTTGGATAAAGATAAAGATTAAAGAAATTACTAGTCGTGTATTTTATGCCAAATGATACTGGACAAGAGTGATATAAAGTTTCCTATAAAAATAAATTTGAGTGAAACAAAACCAGTTTAAAGAAAATATGAAGAGATTAACACAGCTTTTCCAAGGAAATGGTAAAAATCAGAGAGATGGCAAATAAGATAACTCAAGTTTAAGAGGTAAGTGGTTATGCTTTATTGTTACTAAACTTTACTTCCTTGCATCTACATGAATAAGCTCTTATATTGGTTGAAACTTCAAAGAAATAGTATACTTAGCAACTTAACAGAATGCCACATAAAAACATCCATTACAAATGTCTGCTCAACATAATTCTTTTAGAAAATGGATTTTTTAAAGATTTCTTATTATTTAAAAAAGGAGAATCAAGAGAAATGTAGGAAGCATATTCATCTCTCATTCAAACTGAATAAATATTAAGATTTTTGTTTTCTTTTTTTTTAATAAAAAATCCGGCAAATCTTAAAAATAGCATGTTAGTCGGCTCTCAACAAGCAAAGCTTTGCAGATGGTTGCAAACCCAGATGCAGTATCTTTCATCTCTAGCGGTGCGCCTGGGAGAGGGAGAAGGCGCTCCGGTGGCGCTCAGGTCCCCAGCGGTGCCCTGGCCCCCTCCAGCGCGCAGCGCCGCCCGCCCCCGGGACTTGGAGGGGACGCTGAGGCCGCCAGGTGTGTGCACCTGAGGCGGGACCCGCCGGCCCACCGGGGCGCGGATGCTGGGCGTTACCAGATCTCGTCCTGCGCCACGAGGTTCATGCGCTCGGCCGCAGCCGTGCTGAGAGGTTTCTGGGCCATCGGGCTCAGGTCTGCGGCGCCCCGGGCGCCCCCGCCCCCACAGCGCCTGCTCCGCGTCCCGCGTCGCCGGGGAGACCGGTTGCCTAGCAACGGGACTCGGTGGCGGAGGCTGCGCTGCACCTGGCGCTCCCGCTGCCCGAGCTGCCGCCGCCCCTCGCCCACCGCCTCCCCCCTGCCCCTTGTCCCGCCCTGAGCCCCCCGCCCACCCCCCTCCCACCTGCCCCTTGTGCCTACACCTCATCCCTCGCCCACCCCCACCTGCGCCCCCCCCCCCGCTGCCCGCCGAGCCCCTAGCCCACCTGCCTCCCACCTGCCCCTTGTCCCGCCCTGAGCCCCTTGCTCACCCCCCTCCCACCTGCCCCTTGTGCCTACACCTCATCCCTCGCCCACCCCCCCACCTGACCCCCGCTGCCCGCCGAGCCCCTCGCCCACTGCCCTCCCACCTGCCCCTTGTCCCGCCCTGAGCCCCTTGCCCACCCCCCTCCCACCTGCCCATTGTGCCCACCCTGAGCCCCTCGCCCACCTCCCTCCCACCTGCTTGGCCCTCGTGGCAGCAGCCTGCCTCCAGTGCCGGAAACCCTGCGGAAACCTGAACCCCTGACATCCACATCCCTTTAAGGTTTAGGCCTACATGTGAGGCAAGTGTGCACCCCAGCGAGTGTACGGATCCTGAGTATACCAAGCTTAGTGAATTCTGTCCCAGAGGACACACCCCTGTAGCCACCACCTGGACTTTGAAATCCGGGAGGCAGATCACTGCTCGTTGCCACTCCCGGAGAGTGTTTCATCCTGCTGCCCCGGCTTCGGGCCTGAGTGTTTGGCCACCGCAGAGCTGCCCCGAGTTCTCCTGCATGTGCCCTTGGGAGAACTTATGCAGGCATTTCTGTTGGCATTCACTCTTTGTAACAATCCCCCGATGAAACTCGCACCTGTCCACCGTGTGCCGATCTGGCAGCCCACCAGCTTGCTCAGCCATGGGTTGACCCGCAGACCCCACATTCTCCTTCATGCCCACCACCAACCCCTCACAATTGGGGTGCTCAATCTGTTTGTTGATTGACAAATTGACACCACCCCCGCCAAAGCTTCCACCACTACACGTTGTCATAGGTCTGGAACTGGAAGATGGGTCTGAGAGACAGCAGTGAGTGGACTGACAGCTCTGGGGCATGGGGACCTTTCTCTGCCTGGGGAGCCATGAGATCCACCCGTGTGCAGGGCCTCCTGGGACCAAGCAAGTGGAGGCAGCATGCTTCCTACAGGTCACCTCCCAGATAATTAACCAAGGCCATTCGGAGAGGGCATGGGTGTTTTATCTTCCAGTTGGGTATCCGTGATTTTCCCAGGTATGTCTCCTACCTCCCTTTACCTGACCTCCTTCCTCCCTCGTCAACAGATTTGTGCATTTATGGGGCTGTCCGGAGGATGTATTTTCTTATAACAATGCTCCCCGTACCCCAGGCATGCAATGCTTGTCTTGGCTGTTGGAAGTGCTGGGTAGAGGCCCCAAATGGGGGTGATCCCTTTTGCCCACTCAACCATAATAGTGAAGGAGCAGACGGGGCTGGAATGAGGGTGAATAGGTTAATTTATGAGTGTGGAACACACTGTACCCATGGCCAAGCAAGCAGGTGGGCTGGCCAGATAGGCACATGGTGGACAGGTGTGCAGGTGGGCCCAGGGCTTGCTTTCTGGCCTTATCTGTGAGGTTGCTGTTCTTACAACAGAGGGTGGGTTATCTGGAAAGAGGTGTGAAGAGTGGATGGCCGGGGAGAGGAGGATCCCTCATGCAGGAGGGCAAAATCTGCTTCCTCCTTGAGAAGCTTCTGAGATGATTTTGTTAATTAAGAATCAATTCATTTACTGTCTATATATGTTGGGCACTGAGGGTTCGTTCATTCTACAAATGTTTGCTGAGCACCTCTGATGTGCCTTCAGATCCAGGAAGGAACAAGACAGGCTAAGTTGCTGCCTCTGCCCTGGGGGAGGGGCTGGCATGTCTACAGGCAGGACAGACAGGGAAGCAAGTGAGTAGAGGCTCACATGTGCTCAGGCGAGGGAGTGATGCGTGTGCAAAGAAGGTGACACCATGAAGGAGGCTCAAGATACGGAAGAGATTAATGCGACTGGGTGGTCTGGAAAGACCTCTCCGAGGGTCATTTGATCACAGATCTGATGAGGGAGGGACCCTGCAACGTTTCACGGAGGAGCGAGGCTCAGGTGGTGAGCTGGAACCAGCCTGGGCCGTCTGGAGGAGGCCGGTGCTGCTGGAGGCCTCCCTGGAAGTGTGGCAGGCACAGAAGTAAGAAGCAAGTGCATCACCTTCAGGGAGTCAGTCGAGTAGGGGCACAGACGTGAATGTCACCAGATGAGCGTGTCTCATTTTGTCATGCTGGATGACGTAACAGTAGCATGATGCGATTCAGAGCGTGTCCCTGATGAGGCAGGGAGGTGCAGGGGAGGTGAGGAGTGACTTGGGCCTTGAAGGATGAGCTAGAGTTTGCCCCTCCGGCCCCATCTGCTCAGAGATATCTGCAGGAGGCACGTGGGGAGGGGGCCAGGGTGAGAGGTGGGGAGAGTCTTGAGGTTGGAAGCATGGGCTTTGGGACTGGATGTGGCCTCCAGCCCTGGCTCTGCTGTGAGTCCCATCTCGGTGACCTTGGGTAAGTTGGCTAACCTCTCTGGGCCTGTGTCCTCGTCTGTCATATGAACACTTAGGGATCGTAGGAGGGGGAGCAAATGTAAAGGGCTCCACGTGGTGCCGGAGCTGTTGGCATCACGAGTAATGGAGAGTGTCACCTGAGGGATAGCACGCCGGTTGTCTCAGCCGGAGATACGGTGGGTTTGGGGGGCAGTGCAGGGAGATGGAAACTAGGGGCTGAGTGGAACTAGGGGTTACTTCTTGAGGATGTCAGTTTTGAAGAAGCAGCTGAGGATGGCTGCTGGGCTGGCCTGGAGGGCAGGATCCCTTCTTTCCTGAGAGGCAAGAGAGCACTCAGCTGGGGTGGCTCCTTGGGCCGTCCTGAGGCCTGGTAACCATCCTGGTGCCAGCATTTGCCACATTCTCCAATTTCTTGGAGGAGGGATTCCTTTGTGGCCATTTTGTGGAGGGGAAAACTGGCTCAAACAATCAGTGGGAGAAAAAGGATTTTTGCTTTAGGATTTTAATTTATTTATTCATGAGAGACACACAGAGAGAGGCAGAGACACAGGCAGAGGGAGAAGCAGGCTCCCTGATGCGGGACTTGATCCCAGGACCCCGGGATCACACCTTGAACCAAAGGCAGATGCTCAACCACTGAGCCACCCAGGTGTCCCAGGAAAAAAGGATTTTGAATCAAACTTCAATGTCTCCCAGGAACTCTGGGTTGGGGGTGGGGACAGCTCTTCCTCCCTAGGGACAGGGCCTGCAGGAGGATGGGCATCCGCATAGCCTGGTCTTCCTCTCTCTTTGGACCAGTCAGGTTGCCCTTGTGTCTCTGGATGATTTTCAAGTGGCTGAGCTGGGCTGTGGGTGTCCAGTCTAAGCAGCAAGTGATCGTGGGGAAGAAGCCTGGCTCTGGCTTTTCCGAGGTGATGCCCGACCAGGCCGGGTCCCCCGTGGGCGGGTCTTACGAGGGAGTATCGGGCCCCGAGGTGCATCGGCCTGAAAGTGCTGTCAGGCGGCTGAAGCTGACGCAGGGCCCAGATGGTGCGGAGGCCCCGAGCTGCCACCTGCCCGGCTCTCCCTGAAGAAGCCTTCCTGAGCGACAGGCTCGGGACTCGCTTCAGACAGAGCCCGGGCTCCCTGTCCTGTCAGGGCGTGGGCGATCAGTCTTCACTCAGCACGGCCACCACAAGTCTCCACCAGTAGGGCTGCCAGAGTCAGCAAATACAGGGCGTCCAGTGAGATTTGAATTTCACGGAGCATACTTATAACACCAAAGTATACTTATACCAAGAAATTAGGAGTTGTTTACCTGAAATTAAACCTCGCTGGGCATCCCGTATCCTACCTGACCATCCCACCCTCAGCAAATTTCTTCACTGGTTGGTGTACCATACTCCCCAGATGAGTACATTTGCATCTAGGAAATCCTATTTATTTTTGATTTCTGGTGGTCGGGTGTTATTTTATTTTTTAAAGATTTTATTTATTTATTCATGAGAGACACAGAAACAGAGAGAGAGGCAGAGACACAGGCAGAGGGAGAAGCAGGCTCCCTGCGGGGAGCCCGATGTGGGACTCGAACCCAGGACCTCAGGATCACACCCTGAGCCGAAGGCAGATGCTCAACCGCTGAGCCACCCAGGAGCCCCTGGTTGTCGGGTTTTAATTTGTCCCGTAGATATCCTTCTCCTCCTCCTTCAGTTCTGGGGGTGGAAGCCTCTTCCCTATGATATTCGAAACAAGACATTTAGGGACCTCTGACCGACACCTTTTCTCTACCTGCTAATTGAATTTTATTCTTTCAGAAAAAGTGTTATTCAGCATAGACTTCAAATGGGAAGAGCAGGGACTGCCATCCTTGCTGATTATACATGGGGGACGAAGGAAATATTTACAGCTTGCGGAAGGTTTGCCGTGTTCCTGCATATTAATATTTTTGGCCCTCTCTCAGTATTCTGGGACAGTTTATTTTTTTATTTTTTATTTTTTTTTCCATCTTGCTGTTGCTTTATAAAACATTTCAACAACTGGAGCCAACTGCTTCTTTTTAGTTTCTAAGCTTAAACAGTTTTCTTTTTTATTGCATGATTTTTTTTTTTAAACCAAAGAATACTTTGTGCAGCCAACGTCCCTGCCAGCCGGCGTGCCTTTTTCGCAGCACGGGTGATTATTACCCCCACTGCACAACAAAGACGCCAGTGCTTGAGCTGCAAGTGCCAATTTGCAGGGAAGGTATTTGATGGCTTCACAAGAGTTTAAGGAACTCAAAAGTTCTAGTCTTCACGCCGCCCCCCCTCCCACCCCAACGCTAGCTCCAGCTCCAGTCACAGCCAAAGGACTCTTCTACTTT